CTCACAAAAGCTTATGCTCAAATAAATTTGTTAGTTTCTAAGGTGCCACAAGTACTCCTGTTCTTTTTACTTATGCTAAACAATCTGCATTCCACCTTATATTTAGCTCTGATGCTGGGCGAACCTTTCCCAGAACTGAAGAAGAGCTCTGTGTGGCTTGAAAGCTTGTGGCCTGGTCTACACTACACAGTTAGGTCGACGTAAGCTGCTTTATGTTGACCTAATTATGCCAATGTACGCACTACAGCCTTGTCCCGCCGATGTAAGTGCCCTACTGCAGTGACATAACTCCACCTCCACGAGAGGCGTAGGGCTTATGTCGGTGTAGTTAGGGCGGAGCAGGCTCTGTGTAGACACCGCATTACTTATATCAGCTGTTGGCTGTCTTGTCCATTTCAGGGCTTCATGCTGAAGCAGTGAAATTGGCAAGAAAGCCGGGCAGCTAGAACCTGGCTGCCCCCAGCTCCCTGCTCAGAGAGGCAAGAAGCCTGAGCGGATATCCCTCTCTTGCCCCTGGCGGGGAACGGGGAGGTAAGAAGCCCGGGCAGCTGGCCGATACTGCTGGCTGAGAGGGGATGTGCAGCACTGGCAGAAGGAGAGTAGTGTGGACATCAGCCACTGCAGTAATGGCTGCACGTCGACCTAACTTATGTCGACTTAAGTCTGTAGTGTAGACATGCCTTGTGTCGCTCACCAATGGAAGCTGGTCCAATGAAAGATATTATCTCACCCACCTTGTGTCTCTGAAATCCTAGAGGTCCATGAGGGTGACCGCGGACTTTCTAAGGGTTCTGTGTGCCTTGACAGACAGCAGTTAAATGTAATTTGTATAACCAGCAGTGCAGTACTTCAGAGCCTGTGCCACGTACCACATGGTGAGTTCTTCCCTAGCTGATGCCTTGTTTAACAAAACACACACGACAAAGCACGTTTTAATTATAAGGTAGGTCAAATTTGGAGCCAAACAGATTGGTAGTGTCCCTTTGCTGAAAGTGAAACTAGATTTGCCAATGATGTGCTTTTAAAAACAGTCTGGTCTTGTCTCTTTTCAGTGACTACATAGAAATCACCTGTGGTTGAATTTACAAAATAACTTTCAGTGCATTAATATATTTCACAATATATCTGTATTGCAGGAGAAGATGGAGTGGACTGGTCCATCAGTGATAAAGACCAAGAGGTAATATAGCCTAATAAATTATTCCAAATATTGTAGGTTGTTTTTAAAAGATGGGGCATAACCTTATGAATGAAACCCCTTATTATAGACCCACTGATCCCTCGTGAACAATATACTTGGAAAACATTCTTATATATCATGTATTTCTGTGTTTCTCTCTTTCTCTCTCCATTCTTTGTTGGTAAGACTAGTTTACATGAAAAGAGGATATTTGCTTTTTAAGAGTTCATCTACCCCAGCTCCTTATTTTCAATTTGAAGTAATAATTCTTTCTTGACATCATAATCATTTCCCACCGCTTCCAACCGTGATGTCAGAAACAGAGCATTAAGATATCAGATGTGGAATAGGCAGAAAGAAGAGAGGAATTCTTAAAAAATAAAAAATTCTTTTATTCACACAGGTGTCCCTATATAAACAGAAAATAAAAAAATAGAGTAAAGGTGTGAGCAGAATTATTAATTTTTCTTAAAGATATCCATGAGACATCAGCAGCTCTCTGAAGCAGAACCAGACTCTTCAGCCTCTAGCTGCACTTGCTTATGATGCGTTTATCATTTGGTGGGACTTCTTGTCTTGCCCTACTCACATACCCCTCCTTTTGGAGGGTCTGGAAGAAAGATAATCCTAATAGCCCCAGACTATCTAAGAGGAGCACGGTACTCAGACCTCTTGAGGGTCCCTCTCTCTCTGTCTCACAACCAGCTCCAGTAAGGTCCAATAATGCTTCCATATTAGGGTTACCAACACTCCATGGTTGTCCTGGAGTCTCCAGGAATTAAAGATTAATTTTTAATTAAAGATTATGTCATGTGATGACACCTCTAGGAATAAGTCCAACCAAAATTGGCAGCCCTATTCCATATGCAGGGGCCCTCAATCTTTCAGCTTGGCTTGTGACAGCTGCATCTGTCCTAGTTCTAGGCCCAACATCCTGTCTGTTTTTTAAAAAACCCTGATGTTTACTGGTACTAAATAAATCTTCAGGAGCAAGAGAGAGAATTATCAACTTCCTCTGCTTCCGTGGAGATAACATGTGAGGTCACAGTTGTGTGTTTTGCAGGTTCACTGTAATGTGTCATGGTGCAAAATGCCGGTTTAATAGCTCTCCCTACAGCATTATATTTCTTCTAAGGAATGTGTCTACCCTTGTTGAATGGTGACTTGTATTTGTAATTAATGTTAGCTACATGTGCAATTTGGGGGGAACTACAGTTCATCCTGGAGATTTTCGAAAGAAGACAAACCTTTCTAATTATTCTTTCGTTGTAGTCTGAAAAAAAGACAAAAATGTCTGCCAGTGATTTAGCAGCCAGTCATTTAGACGCATGTCGGGCAAAGTTTAAGAGAACAGAACTATCCACTTCAGCGCTAAATGGTTGACAAATGTACAAGTACAATATTAGATTTCAAACTGAACGTACCAGCACTGACAGCTACAAAAATACAATTCAGCAAAGCACTAAACCACAAAAGCCCAAATAATAGATGCATCTTTTTTTCTTGTTTCCCTAGGCACAGATTGGTAATTATGCACCCCTGAGACGCACCAGCAGATACTATGCAACAGACAAAAATGTTACTTGTAGAAATTGTGATAAACGGGGCCATTTGTCCAAAAACTGTCCGACTCCGAAGGTAAATGCAATATTTTAATTTATTTTAGAGGCAGCCAGTTGTTCTGTGGTTACTAGTTAACACGCTTTTGGGTTGGCCTAGAGCTGGCCCACCATGCTGTGAAGTTTATAAACATCCCTGTATGGTCCAGATTGGAAGATAATTGATTAGGACTGAGTGATTAACCAGTTAACAAGGGGATCCAGCTCATCAGCTGGGGACTGTTGCATGGAAGCAGGATGGGAGAGAAGCGGGGCTGGGAGGAGAGGCAAAGAAGCTTAGGAGCTGAGAGAGATGAAACCTCTCTCCCCCACCTCGACTCAGTGCCTAGGCGGTACAGTGACACACGGGAAAAGCCTTGTGGTGGGGCGATGTAAGACACTCTTAAATAAAGTGCAGTGTGGTGAATTTACGAATGCAAGTGTGAGGACTGCTTGCAAAGAGACATCCAGGGTGAGGGAGCCCGCTCTGAGCCACCCTATTTCAAGAGTTTGTCATTTGGCTTAAAAGTTTGTTCCAGGTTGAAATTTGACAATAAAGTCTCTTGGACAAGACTAATTTAATTTACAAAGTTAAAAAAGGCTTTAGTTGGTGTTACGATTTTTTTTGGTATGAAGTTAAAATCTCTCACAATTACAAATGAATACAGAGAAAATAAAGGTAAGTACAATGTAAGGACATATTGTTGAGATCCTAAAAGAATATTTTACATTTTTTAACTGTTTTATATTGTACGGACTCTCAGAGAAAAAGAACTAAAGTAAAGAGAAACAATTTTTAGGAAGGAACAGCACCTAGACTTAGTACCTATTGCCCTGGCAAAGAATTGTTTTAAAGATTATTTACCTCCCTTTGCCATCATAGAAAATATGAAATTAAATGTGACCTCAAACAGCTCAAATTTCAACAAAACAAACAGGGAAAGTTTTTAGTTTTTTTTTTTAAAAACACCTACTATGTAAAATATTATGTGGAAATGGCTGCAGTCTCTATTGAGCGTGACTTAACCACTCCCAACAGAAAAGACTGTAAAAGTTCTGAGAATTTTGCAAAGCCTACACCTTCTGAGACTGCTTCCTATTCCAAGTCTATGGACGTGTAAAACCGGTTTCTCAGTGACTATCAGTCATTCCCATCCAGTGGCCATTTGAGCCTCAAATAACAGACTCAGTCATTAGGGAAATTGGCTTAAAATGGACACCGCTTCAGAACAGGCTTTCAATAGTTTGATTTTATAACTCCATAAATGCACTAGTACGCATACACAGGAATCTCAAAAGTATGAACATTCACTTTTATGGCATAGATCAGTGGTTCCCAAACTTGTTCTGCCGCTTGTGCAGGGAAAGCCCCTGGCGGGCCGGGCCGGTTTGTGTACCTGCCGCGTCCGCAGGTTCGGCCGATCGCGGCTCTCAATGGCCGCGGTTCACTGCCCCAGGCCAATGGGGGCTGCTGGAAGCGGTGCGGGCCGAGGGATGTACTAGCCGCCGCTTCCAGCAGCTCCCATTGGCCTGGAGCAGCGAACCGCAGCCACTGGGAGCCGCGATCGGCCGAACCTGCGGACGCGGCAGGTACACAAACCGGCCCGGCCCACCAGGGGCTTTCCCTGCACAAGCGGCGGAACAAGTTTGGGAACCACTGGCATAGATAAAGAGGCAAATCGTTAGAGTCCATTGTGTTACATATCACAGCATGCCACTAAGAGAGACAGCTTTTTCATTTTTTAAAACAGTATTTTAAAAAAGGAAATATAAACCAACTTGATTTTACACATCTTTCACATCTTACATGCATTTTACACATCTTTCATACAAGTTGTATCCAAAATTTGAGCACACAGTGTTCAGGTATGAAAAGTTTGTCTCAAATCAAAATGTTCCTTTCCTCTTAGCATGATTGTTGTTGTTTCGTTGAAAGTAGTACAAGTGTATGCAGTAATTCATGAAACTTGAGAAGAAACAAGGAGCAGGAAGTACTGTATATGGAATTACGTTAGCTTGTATTTCTCTTGTTTAAGAAGTAAGAAATTTTGAAGAAACACTATAATCTTAGTATCCCAGCTGAGAATACATAATTATGAACATTATGATTTGTGGGGGGTTGCGCTCATTTTGGTTTGTGTTTCACCAGTTATTATTTTTTAAATACTTTAAACAGTTGAAATGTTTTCACCTAAGATCCTTCTTTCTCTATTTCTCCATAGAAAATTCCCCCTTGTTGCCTGTGTGCAGAGAGAGATCACCTACAAAATACCTGCCCAGCACGATTTTGTTTCAACTGCTGTTTGCCTGGACACTGTTCTAGGGAGTGCCTTGAGAGAGCTTATTGGCATAAACATTGTAACCGCTGTGATATGAAAGGCCATTATGCTGATGTGAGTAGAACGTTTAGCAATCGTTAGCCCATGTCCACCTTTGTCAATAAATGTTATGCGGGGTAAAACTTGATGTTCTAACCATCTGTTTTTAACCTTCTATTATACAGTGGGCGCACATTTATACATATATAAAAATATATTTGAGTATCTGTCTATATAGTATCATAGTTTCCATGAGGAATGAGGCCAGAATTTAGCAAAATGTGGCATTGTAAGCCCTGCTGTTTGCTGTGATGCAGTTCTGTGTTCTTTAGTTTGTACGTCAATTACTTGCTCACATAAATGTTTTTCTTCCTAAATCTGTGCAGCAAGTGTGGTGAGAAATGCCCAGGGAAGCATCATTTAGCCCCATGGAAGGTGTATAAAGATATTGTATGTGATTCTTTCACACTTTGGATATAAAGATTTGAAAGTTGAACAAGTGGAGCACAGATGGTTTTGTTGAGTTTTGATTTCATTTTTAGAAAATAATTTTCAAAAAAGATATAAAAATGCAATAAGCAAGACATTTCAATTTAAGTCATAACAGGCATCAAGACAGAGGAACGCAAATATACGTTCAATTGGTGTGGGAGTGGGTGGGCGTGTATAGATGTATAGTATTTAATGCTCAATATATAATGACAGTTCTCCAGACTTTTGTTCCATAGGCTGGGAGGAATTTGGGGGTACAGCAGAATCAGCACTTTCCCCTGATTAAGGAACGAGTGTCTTGCACAATTCACTAGTGTCCATGCTGAGAGAGGTAGTGAGGGACTCTCACTGGAATTTCATCCAATTGTACTCAACCAGAAGACTGGGGAAAATGCATGGGTCCTCATCAGTGATGATGGCTTAAAATGAGGGGACATCAGATGTCCCAAGTGCTCCAGCAAAGATGCAGAGGACAGCTTCTACCCACCAAAAGCCAGTAAATAGCCGTGTGTTATTCTGATACTACTCCCTATTCCTATGTTGTTATAAAAGCATCAGTAGAAACTTAAGTTAGTCTATATCTTGGTTTGTTATGTACATTACCTTATGCATTTCATATGACAAGTATACCTGAGCCGGGTAATAGGACATAATACAGTTTTTTCCCACGTAAATATTATCTAAATGTTATCTCTCAGTAAAATAGTAATGTTAAAGGAAGATGTTTAGAAACAGTTTATTTGAATTACTCAGCTTACACTCTGCGTGCTTTTCAGATGTGGATATACATTCAGTTCTTGTGTGCAGGTTTGGATTTCTGCCACAGTCACCTGTAAACTTTTATATGAACCGTGAAAGAGGGAAGATGGTGACAAATGGGGTGAATTATGTGCTTCTCCCCAGACAAGCATACTGTATATGGTGTGGGAGAAAAATTATAAAGAGACTGAACAGTTCTTCTGTCTTGTATCGTTCAAATGTCAAAAGACCAGTACAGTATAAGGAGAGAAATATTTCTGGTCTGAAATCTATTGATATCTTTATCTTAATCCTTACAATATATTAGTAAGAGCTACATTAAATCCATCTTTCAGTGTCCATCATTTTCACCAATGTCATTCAGAATTGCACTGTTGCTACGTACAAGATCAGCACTACTCATACCAGTTGGGGTGTACAGTCTGATCAGCATTGCCAATCAACCTCTTCCTTCTATCTTAACAAAGAGAAGGTTAAGGAGTGACTTGATTACAGTCTATAAGTACCTACATCAGGAATATTTAATAATATTTAATAATGGGCTCTTCAGTCTAACAGAGAAAGGTATAGCGTGATCCAATGGTTTGAAGTAAAACAAGACAAATTCAGACTGAAAATAAGGCATACATTTTTTGACAGTAATTAACCATTGGAACAACTTACCAAGGGTTCTGGTGGATTCTCTATAACTGACCATTTTTAAATCAAGATGGGATGTTTTTCTAAAAGATCTGCTCTGGGAATTATTTGGGGAAGTTCTCTGGCCTGTGTTATACAGGAGGTCAGACAACGGTCCTTTTAAGCCTTGGATTGATGAATACGCATTATTCCCTGTTGCCTCCATGTCTTAAGATAGAGAGAGAAAAGGTACTTAGAACAAATATTGAACTCCATACCTCACCTCATAAAACATAATTTCTGAAATCTTAACCACCCTTTGTCTGTAACCAAAGTATCTCAAGCCATTCCCCTTTGACCTTCCAGATCTCTCTTGTCAGATGAGCATATGAAAATGCCCCCCTTCTTCAACATAGTCACAGTCCAGGTAAAGAGATTCTTGTAAAAGATGTACTGTTCATTTTATCACCCTACCAGGCATTTGTCAGCATCAGGCTCCAGGTCAGGCAGCAAAGCAGTGGAGTTTTTTCCACATATTTTGTTGATTGGGAAAAAAACACTCAATAAAAACATACACACTATGGTATTTTGTGCAAATTTTTGAGGATATACAACCTTAAATAAAAGTGTATTTGTGGGATCAATAATTAGTTTGCATTTTTTTAATAAGTGAAAGCAGTCAGTGTGGATATATTAGCAGGTAAATCATTTATCCCACATTAAGTATCAAGGGTAAAAGAAGTGAATAAGTTTGTGGGAGCATGTCGGGAGATGCAAACTGCTAGACAGAGCAATTCAAAAGTTATAAGAATACTGAGGATCCATTCAAGAATGTCGGGCAAAGGCACATTTTCTGTACAGGCAACTAACGGCCAGGTGAAACCACTGACCATTATATTACAGACCTGTGTAATAAAGCTAAGTCATGTGAATTTGGACACTTAACAGGTGAACTGTTTGGAGACCAATTTATTAGTGGTATAAAGGGTCAAAGCAAATAGTTGCAAGAAAAGGACTTGATCTTTCAAAGAATAGAGGATATTTGCAAGTTTATTGAAAATTGTCCTTCTGAAGTGAAAGTGTTAGCAAACCGGGGGAGGGGTCATTTAATTAGACCTATAACCCAAGACACACAGGCAGTATACAAGTCTAAACAAATGGCAGAGACTAGACTTGTTTGCAAATAAACGTCAAGACAACCACACCATGATGCAAAAGTATACAGCCTAAGGAGTGCAGTGTCATGCATGCAATGAAAGGGACCATTTTGCAAGAGTGTGTATCTCTCAGCCCTAATCACAAAGACATCCAAAAGCGGAATGTACTTAAGAATGTACCACTAGAAGACTAAGTTCTGGTGGTAATATAGAAACAGAGTTATGTATTGGGTCTCTAAATATATATTCTACAACAAAACAGTTTGTCTCAATGGAAAGAGTGAATAAAAAGTTAATTTGAGTTAAAAATTAACTCAGTGCAACATAATCACATCATGCACATACAAAAATATTAGTGACTGTGTAACCCACACACCTCCTGGGTATGGTGTTCTGTCCCATCTAGTGACACCGAGACCACTTAGAAAGAGAGAGAAAATGAATTTGCTCTACAGCTTTAGCTAACAGCCAGTTGGCTAGGGGAAAATACATTGTTTTGCCCATGTTAAAAAAATTCTGGTGATGTTTTCTTTGAGACACTCTAGCATCACCATACTTTCTCAACAAGTAATATTTTAGGGACTCTGTGTAACATAGGCACAACAATGAATGTAGGGCGTATGCACAGGCTGCCAAATAATCCAACTAAAATTTACTCCTTTGCTCTTTTATTCTATAATCGTTGTAGACACAACCAGCTTGAGCTGGAATGTTGCTACTGATCTCAACAGTGCTTTCTCTGATGGAATTGTAACATTTGGGTTGCACAGGGTATAAATGTCTGTACGCATGGTTTCACTCAACCTTGCCATGCAAAATCTCACAGTAACAAAGTGATGAAATAGATTTTAAAGTCTTCATTGGTGGTTGGGGAACAATTTACAAAGAGTTCAAAATGTGAGAGTTTTTTCCTGCACATATTTTGTTTATCTAAACAACTATCTAATTTGATTCAGGCGCCTTACTCTTTACAATTTAAAAGGACCTTACAGAGAGTGAAAATAACTGGATAGGGGAAATGAGCTGATACAGTCACTATCCTGAAACACTATCCTGTAATTTAGCATAAAGTTGTATGGTTGCCCAGTTAATGTGGTTATACCACAATATATGTTCGATATAGAGAACTATGATTAAATAAGGCTGCTGTGACGCAAACCAGCAACATGTAGAAAAGCATAAATCATGCTGATCTTGGATGGGTAGTAGATGAGCTTCAGGTAAGAACTCCAGGTTATAGCTGCTTGGGGCAGGAGGCTATCTTTGATTTCAGGAGGAGTCATGCATACACATCTGAAGACAGGATTTGGCTCCAGGTTTGACGGTACTTATTTTTCTCAGTTAGCACACCAACCTTTTATCATTATTTACGTCCAAAGTTCAGTACACAACTCCCCCCTCTTTTTCTTTAATGGATAGTTTAGACATTTGTTTAAAATAAATAGTGTCTTTTCTGCCCTTGATACATATGCCCAAAAGTCATGTTACTGCTAATGGGAGTTTGTATGTACCTTGTGTACAGTGTTGTAGTTCTATGGTAAATGGCTAATAATATTGGCTCCGTTCCCAAATATCATAAATTTGTGCTGGTATATACAGCTATGGGTACTAAACAGGAGTAATTAAAATCTTTATGAAAGGTAGCTACTGAGTTGAAGATTCAGGTATATTTTAATTAAACTCATTTTGAGAGTTCAAAATAGCCACAAACGGGGAAACATTTTTTTTAATCTCATACGTTATAACACTAGACATAATTGTTTTTGAAATGTTCCTTCCTGGATGAAAGATTTTGTCAGTTTTTACTCTAGAATGAATTGTTATGGCAAAAGTATAATTCCTCTGAAACAAAGAACGTTATCTCTTATGTCATAAATGTATCGCTATAACATATTTAATGACCAGATATGTTCTAAAATATTCTGATGCACACTATGAAAGCTTGGGGCAGAATAAAATAGGTTGGTAAAATAATCAAAATTGAAACTAATCTGATATGAATGTAGAAGTAGAGCAGTGGGATAGACCTACAAGATCACAACCAGAGGG